CCGGCTATGCTCCGACTGCGCTCCCAAAACCCGGGTCTATGACCCCGATCTCGCCCCATCTAGCTATGCTCCGACTGCGCTCCAAACACCTGGGTCTACGACCCCAATCTCGCCCCATCTGGCTACGCTCCGACTACGCTCTAGACAACTAGGTCTGCAACCCCGATCTCGCCCCATCCGGCTACGCTCCGACTACGCTCCAAAACACCTGGGTCTGCGACCCCGATCTCGCCCCATCTGGCTACGCTTCCGACTGCGCTCCAAGCACCTGGGTCCGCGACCCCGATCTCGCCCCGTGACTCCGACTCATCCGATCCCGCGGCGCGCATCGACGCCAGGATCAGCGAGCTCTCTCTCGTCCAACTCCCTTAACTAACTCCCTCGCTCGATCCCATGGCACGCATCGATGCCAAGATCAGTGAGCTCTATCTCGTCCAAACTAACTGCCTCTCCCGATCCCACGGCGCGCACCAACGCTAGGATCCGCAAGCTCCCTCTCACCCAATCTCTCAAATGACTAAAACGCCTCGGCTGCACAACGACGCTTTGGTTAAAACAAACTCCGTATCAAACTAAAAATACGCACACACGCCCGCTAAATGAACATCCCCTAGACGGTTCTGCCCGAACTGCCCGGGGGCTCGGGGGCTCGGGGGCTACACCCGCGGGTGCGCTCGTGTGCACCCGCCGACGAAACGGAAAACCTCCCCCACTGACAACACAGAAAACCCCCCAAACGGTTCTGCTCGAACCACCCGGGGGCTCGGGGGCTACACCCGCCGACAAGACAAAAATCCCCCGGACAATTCTGCCCGAATCGCCCGGGGGCTCGGGGGCTGCTATCGGGTTCATAAACCTGGGGTCCCTCGGGGACCGGCTTCCACGCCAAGGCTCGACCCAAGCAGACAGCACATAACTCATGGGCCGACCCAAGAGTCTAAAACAACAGGCCGGAAGGGCGGTCCAGTCACCGACCAGAAGGTCTGGCCGAAGAGGAATAGCGCCCGCTTGTCGACTATTTCGGCCCACCTCTCCGACCGGAGCGTTCGCTTCGGACTCCATCCGCCTTCGGACGACCTCTCTGATCGGAAGGCCTGGCCCAAGCACTACTTTCGACTCTGACCCCGCGTCTCTGACCGGGGTTCGCAGGAACCCTGCTCACCGCTCTTCTCCGACTGGAGCGACCAGAGCCGACTGGGGCCATCCGACCGGGGACGCCCGCTCGGAAAGGACCAGGGGACGAATGGAGAAAGCAAGTCAGGGCGCACAAGTCAAACCACGATACCAGGGACCATACCCTGTACGCCTACAGAAACAGTACTCTGCAACCGCCCTGACACAAATATTATTGTAGGCGCCGACATTTCCCTCTACAATATTGTGGGCACCATTAACTCCCATATGGTAAGGCCCCCACATGCCTCTAGGCATCGATAGTGTTGTGGGTGTCGGAATTTATCGTACCAGGTGAACGTGGTGAAACTCCTCACATGCCTCTAGGCATCAAACAATATTTGCAGGTACCGACATCTACCATTCCTGAAGAAGGCAACGCAACCTCCCACATGCATCTGACATACTACAGTGACACCAGCAGTGTTGTGGACGCCTACCATTATCTTGTACCCGCCGACATGGGCAACAAAGCTCAGTAGCATGCGTACCCTCACCCTTTCACTTGTAAAGCTATCCTCTTTATCTATAAAAGGGGATGCGCTCCCTCCAACAAGAGGAGAGCCTTTCTAGATTCATTAGATCGACCAAGTTCACTAGCTCATAACCACAGAACCGCCGGGTTTTGACCTCAAGCACACGCTTAAACACTTAGCTCGTAGCGTAGCGCCTGTCGTTCTCGGCCCTTCCGATCGGAGCCGATCGGGCCTCTTGTACACCCCATCTTTCTCCTTCTCGTTTGTAACCCCGCTGCAAACTTCGAGCACCTGGGCTCAGGAATAAAGTCACTGACCGACCCAAACTGGACGTAGGGCACATTGCCTGAACTAGTATAAACCATGTGTCATTGAGTGCTAGGCCACCTCCGATCACAACGTACGACAAAACTATAAATATTCACTAGTTGGTCACTTTCTGCACCGACAGTGACCATCTCCAAAAATTTCACATTTGAAAGTATTACCTAAGTTTCACAGTCCAAGGCAACAAATATATGACTTGCATGCAAAAAAGTCATGTTCTTCTACAAATAGCAATGCAAAAATCACAGAGCTCTATTGAACTGAGCTAATAGAAAAGAAACTATTGGTCATTCTAGATCCATTAGAGAGCAGTATGTCAAAAGCACAAGAACTACATATATTTCACCTAGAGCAAAAGAACAAGAGCAAAAGAACTCGAGAAATGGCTCAGATTTACCCATTATCAGCATGACAATTGCAACTTAATTTCACCTGGAACTTAATGTAATTCTCTCTCTCTAATGGGAATTGAACTGGCCATAGAACTGGTTGCTTGTACTGGTACAAGCTATCCTAGTTAAGTAGCAAACAGAACAAAATATCCCAAGTACCAGCTCATAAGGTGCTAAAGTGCAGAAGTTCTCTAATGGAAACTTGATTCATCACAACCACTCAAGAGTAGTATAAAACAAAAAAAGTCACAAGGCATAGTTAGGGAAGGGGAGAGCAGCGCGACACGAGACTGAGGTTCCATATCATCTCAGCTCCGCAAATATCACATATCAAAATGATTGATCAGGTTGATATATGCAAGATATTCAAGATACTGTTTTCATAGCATCTCACCTGAAAAGCAACCAGGGTAACAAAACAAACAAGTTAAAAATGTATTTTAACTTTACAGTAAAATCTTCTTATTACATTGCTCCCTCAAATTCAAATATAATGACATTATTTGAGTGGTCCATCCATGTATATTTCTTACATTACAGTAAATTATGTTAGTATAGTTCTACTTGTGATTTTCAAAGATGTCAAGTTGTTGATAAAAGACAATGAAGAGCTCCCATTTGGATCAAATTGACAGCTCATTGCTCATATATGTTCAAGAAATATTTGATGCACTACTAATCATGAATTATGTTAGTATAGTTCTACTTGTGATTTTCATGAATCAAAATGGCAGTGCAGTTTCTTCATACAACAAATCAGAGGTGCTACTACTAATAAACCAGCTGGAACAACCCAACAATGCAACCAAGAGGTCATCTTACTGTTAATAAAACAGGAGCAGTGGAGGAAGTAGCTCCAGTAGTGAATACATACCCATGGTGGTAGTAGCTCCAACAGCTCCGGATCCAGGAGAGGGAGGGACGGCGCCGGGGAAGAAGAAGGCTGAGCAGGGGCAGCGCCGGGGACCACCACCACCACGCCAACACCACGAAGCCCGCCGCCACGCCACACGTCACCCTCCGCCCGCCACCACCAGAGCCCAGATCCGGCCGCCACCGGCCTCCACCGGTAGGATCCGAGAGACGGAGGGCCGGATCCGGGAGAGGGAGGGGTGGCGCCGGGGAAGAAGAAGGCCGGGGAGGGGCGGCGCCAGGGAAGAAGGGGAGGGGCGGCGGCAGGGAGGGGAGGGGCGCTGGGGCCAAAGCCGTGGAAGAAGAAGGGAGGGAGGGGCGCTGGGTCCCAAAGGAGGAAGAAGAAGGGAGGGGAGGGCGCTGGGTTCTGGTGTGGAGAAAGAAGAAGAAGGGGGGGAGAGTGCTTTGGTCTTTGAGAATGCAGGTCTGGAGGAAGACGGGACTTTCTTTGTTTTTTTTATTTTTTCTGTGCGTGCATATATTTTTTCTGTGCGTTTTTAAAGAACCGACAGAATAAATTATATTTTTCTGTGAGTGCTTATTTTTCCATGTGTGTATTGCCACGCACAGAAAAATCATGCAATTATTCTATGGGTTTTTGTATTTTTCTGTCGGGATATTTTGAAACCGACAAAATAATCGTAATTTTTCTGTGCGTACCGAAAAAAACGCACAGAAAAATTCGTCATCCACAAGGCAATTCGAGTTTCCAGTAGTGTCAGATCCACTAGTGGTGACAGTTGTTCACGCTCCTGCTTTAAGGTCTCAAGCAAACCACAAGGGTTCGGGCTTACCACAACCTCAAGGTCATTCATTCATCTCTGCGCATAGTTTAAGCCCACTTTTGGTGATCCAGCCCTCCCCACTAGGTTTGCCCAAATTCTAACCGACTAATAGTCGCTCTCAGTGCCCTTGCTTTATCCATGATCCTCAATTACGTTGTCGTATCAAATTTCGGGTTAGCAAGACCATCAACCTCTCTCTTAGATCTCTTCATGCTCCTTTTGCCAGCCCTTCCTCCTTTGAGGCTTCTTTTCTTCAATGATGTTGGCGGGCGTCGATTGATTTCAAAATATGCTTCAAAAACAATGTAAGCATGACTGCCGTATGCTAAACTTGACTCGAAGCTTATCGGTCGTCTTTGGAATGGAGGTCGTCGGAGTACCTCCACTACGCGGTGGTGTTTGTTGGTGAACAACGACATGCTTTTGCTATGGGTTTTTGTTTCCTCCTTGTGTTTGGTGGTTGTCCTCAGCTCTCTCATGTCATGTGTTGTTGATGTTGTTATACTTTTAGTCTGTGTACTCTATTATATCTTTTTGAGCGATAATTTATATATTACCACTCTTGGCTGCCTTTTTCTTTGACAACAATTGGCTGCTGTTGAAGTGTCTTCTGTCATGGACCACTCTTTATTGCTTGCGAATCCATGGCAATCTGAGATATATTTTTTAATAATTTTAAACTGATATGTCAACCCCGATGTGCCATGATAGTCTCGTTTTTTGCCTTCTGGCTGAAACCACCACACGTCAGCGTACACTCTCTCAAAACTCATCGCTCGTACGAGGACCAAGATAGTAAAAAGCTCAAACAGCCCTGATCATACCCTACTCCATTACTCTCCAGGCTTCGAGGGGTATCAACTCCCAGGTGCCAGCTACTTCTTATTTGGAACTAATAACTCGTCTATTGGTGAGGAGGTGGTGTCATGGTGACCATGGCGCCTGGCCTCCTCGCGGCCGCCGTGCTGGCCGCGGTGGCATCCCTCGCGGCTCACGTCGCCCTCAATTGCCCCGTGCAGCCGGTGCCGTCGACTCCGCGACCGCCCACTCCGCCTCCCAACAACCTCCTCCAGGTTAACGAATCGTCCAGAAAAATCCTTGGTGCTCGTCAATTTGTTGTCATCATTTCGTGAGCGTGCGTGATGCCGATGCGCGTCATGCAGAGGCTGGAGAAGCTAGGGGAAGGGGCGCTGGATGCGCCAGAAGACGTGTACGTGGACGCGCACTACACCACAACACCGCTTCACTGTCAGACATCTGACGCTAAAAATTATATTTGGCGATGGATGATCTGACGCTAAAGATAACTTAGAGATCATCTGACACTAAATTCTCATTTAGCGATTTAGTGTCTGTCACTATAGGTATTCATATTTAGCGTTGAACCATCTGTCACTAAAGCCAAGTGTACCGTCAATCTGTCTGTCGCAAAAGAAAATGGGCCCCACGCTGAGCTCGCGTGCCCCACAATATGGATCAAAACAAATAGCCCATCACGGCCCACACTCACAGCCGCAACAAGCCCATACAGGCCCAACCTAGAACCCCATTGGCGGCAACCCCTGCATACCCCACCGCGAGTTCGCGCTCCGTTCCCCCAAAATTTTCCCATTTCCTCCCCCTCCCCTTCCACCCGTAGCTCCCCGCGCCTAGAAGGGGAACCCAGCCGCCGCCGCCGCCGTGCAGCACGCCGCCCATGGCCTCCTCGTCAGAGAACACGGGCGCGCCGCTGGAGGAGGAGCAGCCCCAGGCCCCGCTGACGCCGAACCCGAAGCCTACCAAGGCGGTGGCGCCTGACGAGGTGGAGGAGGAGCCGCAAACCCTAGAGCGGGCGCAGGAGCTCTTCGATAGGGGCGCCAAGGCCATCGAGGACGAGGACTTCGTCGAAGTCGTAGACTGCCTCAGCCAAGCGCTCGAGATCAGGTTAGGGTTTCCTTTCTCGCTCCGATTTCCCCTCCACTTCTGCAACATGTAGCTATGAAGCGACTCCGCGTGTTGGCATATTTTGGAGCAATTGGCGGTTGGTACGGTGTGTTTCTGTCCGGATTTGCTGGTTTTCGCATCAGCGCTTGGGTGGCTCGGGGATTCAGTCCACTAGGGTTTAAGGGGTTCTACAGCAGACTGCTTAACAGGGGTGTTATCGTTTCGTTTATGTCGGTGAGTGAGATGCAGAGAGTCTGTCATTGTCAGGGACCTATTGGATTTGGCTCCGAGACCTATGGTGGTTTGTGGAGCAACACTTGGCCATGGGTTGTCATGGTGCCTAAATTGTGTTCACCATCAATTGGAGTGTACTGTTTTTTAAACAACTTTGGAGTGTACTGTAGTATACAATGGTTAAGGAAAATGTGTTGTCTGTCTGAGATTATGCAAACATTTCGGAAGTCAATCAACAACAAACTAACTTAGGACCTTGTATTAGTAACTTGGTTGATAAAATCTCTGTATCTATCAGTTTCAGTTGTGCTGCTCTATCTCGTTTTACATTGCCCCTCATGGCCTGATGCAAGTTATGTTAATAACCTTTACAGTGGTGCACTAACAATTTTGTGCATTCGTTGCCCACTAGGACTTCATATTATGGAGAGCTCGCGCTGGAGTGTGCCAGCACATACTTCAAATATCCACGTGAAGCAGAGAAAATCTTTGTTCCAATGGCCTTTAGCAAGGTGAGACAGGACTGAACTGACAAGATTTTTTTATACATGCTGCATTGCAGCAATGCTTGAGTATTGGGCTCATCAGTAGGCAAGTAATTTCTATATATGATACATCATACATGCCTACAATAGTTCAAGCCAATGAGTGTTAGGAAAATCCTAAAAATGGTGTTTAAGCTAATTTGCCATATGGTTGCCCTAAGAATTTTGGGGGAATTTAACATCAGTTCAATTAGATGCTTGCTGCTTGTAGATCCCCATCTGTGCCGTTGAATGCAGCTAACTATAATACTAATGATGCTCTTATTTTTATGATATCTTATATTGAGTTGATAAACTAAGAATCACATTAAATACAATTATTTTAGCCGGTAATTTGCTTGCAGCAAATAAGGAGTAAACTAGAAACCTTAATAACATTGATCAGTATGTTTATTCCTAAATAACATCAGCCATGCCATACTATGTGTTTGTATTTATTGATTAATTTGAGATGCATTCTATGCAATTTATTCGAAGATCCTGTCCACATACATGTATATAGGCCTACATACATACAACTTTTGAAATAAGCAGTAACCAAAGGAACCAAGAATAACGGTATGTAGTTTACTTGACTTGCAGCTAGGTATCCTGAATGTTTCTCTAGTTTTGTATGCCATGTGGTTTTCAAAAAAAAATCAGGCCTTACTAGGGCATATTACACTGCATATCATTTACACTTCTATGCCATGATTTAAGATTAGTAAAGGGCTTTCAGTTCATCATTTTTGTTCATAGCAAGTTTATGCCTCCCTTATATAGCTGCCTACTTTCAGATCTTTACTATGCTCAGATAGTTTGAACAAGTAATTGGATGTACATCTGTAATGCAATGTCTGTTATATCCCTTTAATTTTTAATTTTAAATTTTTTGTGAATTTAAGGATCAATTCTTTTTTTACTTTGATAATGTAGATTCAGAATCTAGAGACAAGTGATTTTAAGGACAAGTGCTATGTTTTGTTTTTGTTTTTTTTTGCTACACATACAACCTGCAAGCTTGGGCCTTCCAGTGGTAGGCGCTCGGCCATCACCGCACGGAGCTACTCTCTGTCTCTTACTCTCTGGTACTTCTCTTGTACTCCGGGTTTAGATCCAGCAACGCATAGTATTGAAGTAGCAGTAACCTGCTCCAGAAATATTATTGTAAAAAAATATGACTTAGGGTAAGTACTTGGTACGCTGTTTGCTATTTGACCAACAACTCATTTTTTCACATTGATTCTATACTGTACATTTTCTTCAAAAAAATGTTGGCTTTTCTGCTGATCTGTTTACATTATATTTATTCATCTATGCAATACTTGGTTTTTACAAGCAACCCAGATTTTAAAATTGTTGCCAGGTTAATCCTTTGAATGTTACTAATTAATTGAGCAAATTATGAATTATACCTATACATTTTCATCTGCATAAATAGACCTAGTATAAATCGATAAGTAGCAAATAGTAAGGTTTGAAAGTTTTAGTGTTCGAGCAAACTGAATATGTGAATTATATTTGTGAAACTATGTCATCTCATTCTCTCATTGTAAGTTGAAAGTTGCAATTTGTAACCGAGTTATATTTATCATTCTGTTATTGCACTGCAGTAAATCAATTGAAATAGCAGCAGCTCATCTCGCTCTATTCGGTAACTTGGTCTTGGCTTGTTTCAGTTCAGCAACAGCTCAACCATGTGTTTCAGGTTCTGAATTCTTGAGTAGCAGGAGAAATGACAAGCCATCCTTGCTTTTCATCTAGTCAACTACTGAGACGAAATCAATAATATTTATATCCTATAGTGAAAGAGTATAGACTTGTTGATTGTGCAGGTTTATAATTTCTACTGGCATGTAACTTTGCTTCTTTTGAAAACAGTGTTTATATGCATCTAAAATAGAGTGATTCCTACTTTTGTAATAATACATCATACTGAAGCATAGTGTCTTTATCTGATCATGTGTCTATTTTCTTTCTCGATAGAGGCAAAATGGATATGCAAGTCCGTGTTTGAATTTATTCACCAAATACTGCTTAAGTTAACTGCCAATGTTTTTTTATGTATCTATTTCTTTATCAGTCTAGGTTTAAATTGATGTTCTTTCCATAAAAGCTATTTGCAAGGGCTCTCCACACCTCTTTGCTTCAAACTTCTCCTTTTGGCCTATACTTGCAATTACTTTCAAGCTTAAGGCACTATTAGATAACTAGATGTCTTGTAGAAAAGAATCATATTTCATGCATGCATTCACTTGTGTTCCTAAGAAGTCTACATTGTATGCAGCTCTGAAATGTTGACATTTACGGTGTGCATGAAGGTTTTCAACACCTAATCAGAAACATAGTTCCTAGGAAAATGTTTATCTGGTACCCTAATGAGACTAAGAATTAGAGTCATACGAAGGGTATATAAGGCAATATTTGTAGTTTTTGTTTGATATGTTCCTGAGATTCCTTACTATCTGTGTAGAGGTACCACTAATTATAACGTAGGATGTACCATTATTTGGCACCTAAGGTATGATACAATTTTTGGTATCTTAGATACCAGTTTCAAGCAATAATTTTTGTACTTCTTGGTACCTTTCTGAGATACCAGAATGCTAGTCATGTTGAATACAAGTTTTGCCTTCCTCACCTAATTACATCAAAACTTCTTTGCTACTCAATAGAGTCCATTTGGCAGTAGCCTAGGGGGCCTAGCTTATTTGGTTAGCTTATTTGCTCTAAAATATGTCTAGGAGAGGAAATTTCCTAAACCCTATTTCTTGCGTTGGCATTCTAAATTGCTAAGTTGTTCTAATTTATCCATATTAAACACTAAGCTTTGCTTGGGGATTGAGAAGAAAATGCTAGTCTAGGATCCAAACACACCCTTTGTTTCCATTTCTGCTTGAAATTGTTTTTGAGTTTCCATGGTAACAAACAACCTGATACAACAATACCTTCAAACCAAACAGTAAAATTAAATTAACCTCTGCCAATAATTCCCATTCCCACTTCCCACGTCAGCAATCAAACAACTGTCCATTTATTTTCATTTTGAAACCTTATCTGATGGTTTGCATGTTTATATTCTTTATTCCCTTTTCTATTTCTAGAACCCTCTTGCTTTGGTATCACAGGTGATTGTTAGTGTATTGAGTGGTCAATCTTGACATTTGATGTACATAGATTATGATGTAACCGAATTGTTCATTTCAGATGTGAATCACACGAGGACTCTTGATTCAAGTATTAAACGTAATTTAGCAATTATCAAGAAGCTTAAAGTGATAAATGATGAAGTGAAGGACGGGTTAATTGAAGAATTGAAAACTGTAAACTTGAGCAAATTTGTCAGTGAAGCAGTTTCTTACATTTGTGCTGCTAAGCTTCGTTCTACTGACATACAAGCTACAGTTCAGGTATGCACAGTGTTAACAGTACCTGGATCTGGTTTACTTAGTCTTATCAGTTCACAAATATACACTTAATCCGTCTTGTAAGCTACAACCTTGCTCATTATACATTTCTTTATAAGTTATTTCATACATGGATAAGCAATGTGTTCTGTATAAGAGAAGCATGCTGCCCTGCCCTAATTTTTATCGGCATCAAAATATGTAGGCTATTAGCTTGGAGTTGTGCAGCATTACACATATAGGTTATATTTATTTTTTTGGCGATATTATTCTTGTCTGTAAACTGTTAATATTATGGTGAATTCCCATGGAATGTAGATTTGCTCACTGCTCCATCAAAGATATATAGACTTCTCTCCTTGCCTTATTGAAGAACTCCTAAAGACCTATCTTGGGACAAGTGATTTTAAGGACAAGTACTATGTTTTGTTGTTTTTTTTTCTACACATACAACCTGCTGTATTGATCGATGTAAATGGTAAAAGTTTAATCTCCATATAAACTAATGTATCTGCTTGAGTATATATGCCATGCTCAATACGCAAACTATGTTTCCATTTTCTGAATTTGTCAATTCTTAATGCTTTACTGTGTTTTGTATTCATACTATGATTTTTCTATTTTATGCTAAATAAACGTCATGTACTTTCTTATTGTTTCGGTTGCAATCACTACTTTTAGTAGCACAAGGCACGTGCTTCCACAACCAGATTGGCTTGGATGGTTTTGGAGGATGTTCTTTGTCTCTAGAGGAAGTAGATGTGGTGAACTTACCTATGTGAGCTATTGTAAATTTTTTATCAAATTTGTGAAAATGCATGTATCTTTATTAAAGTTGAATTCTAATTGTATATTTGCTGAATGAACTTTTGAAGTTCAGTGTAACATTTGTAATAATTGTTGACCGATCAATTTTTATTTTTTTAACCATTTAAAACTAACTGTTGGACCACCTGTCGCTAAAACTATATGTAAGCATCAAATGATCTGTCGCTAAAGAGTAGCAGCGGGTTGTCTGTCGCTAAAGAGTAGCAGCAGACTATCTGTCGCTAAAAAATTTTTGGGCAACGGACTATCTGTCGCTAAAAGTACTGTCTGACGCTAAAGATTTTTAGCGACAGGACTTATGGCGCTGCAGAAGTATGTCGCTATAACTTTTTAGCGTCATATTATCTGTCGCTGTAGCCGCTTTTAGCGTCGGACTATCCATCGCTAATCTTGGTGTTGTGGTGTAGTGGCGGCACCTGGGAGCAATGGCGCTTCGGCGGCGGCACGGGGCTGCTCAGGGTCGCGCCATTCGGCGACGGCACAATGCTCATCTGCGACGCCGACAAGGTAGGGTACCTTCACTGATCGGAGTACTTTGATAGCGTGGTTGGTTGTACAGTACGATGAACAGAGCACTACAGCAGCATGAAGCATGTGCGGGGCACCGATTAAAAAATTGACAATATTGATTGAGCAGGGACTTTTGAGAGTCGAGGAGGAAGGAGTGACCCTTCTTGCTTCGGAGGTCGAGGGCTCAACCATCAGGTTCGCATCCCTACCCAAATTCCGAAATCTGGACCAAGTCACACCGTGCAGTGCAGCTCCGTAACTGATTTTTCTCACCATGCGCGTGAATGTGCCGGCCCTTCCGTTCCGCCGCCAGATTCGCGGACGCGGCGATCGAGGCCTCCAACGGCACGGTCTACTTCAGCGACGCCAGCACCAGGTTCGACTTCGACAGGTGGTTCTACGACTTCTTAGAGTCCCACGCCACCGGCCGCCTCCTCCGGTACGACCCGCGCAATGGTGAGACGTCCGTCGTGCTCGACCGCCTCAGTTGCGCCAACGGCGTCGCCCTGCCGAGGGACGAGACCTTTGTGGTCGTCTGCGAAACGTGGAGGTAACTGAACCTTCACTCGGACCATACAGTATGCGTATCATATGGAGAACCAACCAGCTGTGGAGAAAAAAAAACATGCAGGTTCAGTTGCATGAGAGTGTGGCTGAAAGGGGAGAAAGCCGGCAAGGCAGAGACGTTCGTCGACCTTCCGGGAGCTCCAGATAACATTCGTCTCGGGTCAGACGGTCATTTCTGGATTGCCCTCCACGTCAGCTTTCCAGCCACTGGCTCCCGCCTCCTCGCATCATCCATACCAAACTTGCTAACAGCATCACCTGACAGTTTTGAGTTTCTGGTGTCCAAAATGCAGCTGAGTTCGCCATGGCTGGACTTCATCACGCGCTGGACCTTCACGAAGAGAGTGGTGGCCTCGTTCCCCGTGCTCCTCAAGTGGAGCAAGGCAACGATCAAGGGTGCCATGGTGGCTCAGGTGTCGGACGATGGCAACGTCGTCCGCGTGCTTGACGACTCCGAAGGGAAGGTGATCAACTCCGTCACATCGGTGACGGAGTTCAACGGTCGATGTGACGGAGTTCAACGGGGACATCTTCCTCGGCAGCCTCTTGACTAACTTCGTCGGGAAATTATCTCTGGCGCAGGTGATACAGCAGGAGCAGGGAGCAGTGTCTTCGTAGACAGACATTCGAGTTCTCCATGTCAGTTTATACCGGAATAAACTGGGGAACATTTCGGTCTAGACACACTCTTTACTCTTTAAGCGTTTCATAAGCTGTAGAACATTTCGGTCTAGACAGACATATACGGCTCTGATGTACAGTAATCGGCTCCCGGTTAAGATTTCATAAGCTGTTAAAGATTCAGAAGACTAGTAGCTGAGAAACTGTGTGGCCTTTAGCTCTGCTTTGCCTGGGTTGTTGGCTTTCAGGTGCTCATCGATTTCAGCTTCTGTCAGCACTCTGAAAGTTGGATCATCCGTCCTGACTGCCCCAACCTGGAACATTGGTTACTTGTTATATATGCTTGCATTGTTCAGAGCATGATGATGGACGAATATGACAGCATACCAAACAGAAGTTAAAAATGATTAAGTACCTCGATTTCTGTGACTTTGAGGTCCTCCTTCAGGGCGAACTGCAATGCTGATATTGCCATCTGGAAATGAGAGGAGAAGAATAAATCAAAATTGGACTGAACCACCAAGTCAGGAAACTGATCACTGTGCTATGAGAATAAAGGCCAAATCAGCTCACAGAAAGATGCATTAACACTATCGAGTCCAACATGCTTTCACAAATTAATATGCAAACTAGGTTCCAAGTCACAATCCATTAAACTGTAAACAAGCTTTCTGAAGCAAGTGTTAGAAGAAAAAAAATAACAAAGTGGCATTCAGTAGTTTATTACAATATAATAATAAAGTCTCCAGGTACAGTTTTATTGAACTTACTACATGATTCCGGAAAGCGATCTATAACAGAAAAAAAACACCCAAAGGTTCAGCAAGTGTTTTTAGATTACTTGGTATTTATTTGATTTTTTAATAGCATGTGTAGATAACCAACAAAATGGACCTCCTGATTTTTTATAATAATGTTCACCAGAGATACCCTACAGTGTTATTGTTATAGATCTCACTACTACTTGTCTTAAAGAATATTTATTACTGCAATTGTAAGAACCATGCTGTATAAAATGCATGCTGTCGTCATAACTCACAACTTCACAAGCACAGACTATGGAATAGCTAACACCCTCCTGTATTATGCGTTGACAGGAATCAATATGATATCAAAAACATGTAAAAAACATCTCAAATAAAAAGGTTTGTTAGATAATCTACTGCTTCCTTATGTGAACACATAGTAAGGGAAGGCGGCGCCGAAAAGGCTCCCTGATGTGGTACTGTAGCCGCTGCAGGGGCAGGCGCCGAACGGCTCACCTGCCTCACTGTAGCCACGGCAGGGACAGGCGCAGAAGTCAGTCTTGCTGTGTTATCTAGTCACTGTTGCAGCATGGCAGCTGTACTAGGACTAGATGAGTAGAGTTGTATATATAGTTTGCCACTGCAACTCAACAAAGAGAGTTCAGATTTGTCATCTCCTATACAGAGCTCCGGCCAACGCTGGTGCTTGTACTGTGTGTGCTCTGTTCTCCCTTCCTCCTACCTCTGACCATAGTGTGTGGTTGGACAGCGTCTGTTGTGCTCGGCCGTGGTCGGCAAGACTGGTGAGTGGTCGACTCACCTGAGCCGGTGATCCAGTGGGCTAACAAGGTTTGCTCAAGCTAATTTAAAAAGACACCAGGAAGATGGTCATCAACAGTAAATCACATGATTCCTGTCTCTATTCATCCACAGGAGGTGTTGCATACCTTCATCGAGTTTGCTCGCAATAAATAAAAACACACGTACCTCAACGGTTTCCTGAAATGATAGTGAAGGATTGTTCTTCATTTTCTTCTCAAGAAAGTTGACTGCCTCCCTATCTCTTTGGCCAGCACTTGCTGCCTGAAAAGAATGCATGGGAGAAGTCATGTCTTTCTGATACAGAATGTATTCCAAATTGATGCATGTAAAATGGGATGATATAAGTTTATCCATCGAGAATGTTTATCGAGGTTATAAACCAAACAAGTTTTTACAGAATTTATAAATAAACACTGTCTAATCTGCAGAAGTGAAAATCATCCAAAAGAGAAACGGTTAGCTTGCATTATGACTTTATGAGTTTGATGAACCAAGGAAGTCAATGAGTAGCTCAAATTTCCTTGAATAATAAATACCTTGTGACCGAAGAAATACCCAGCAGGATCACATGTAAAGAGCTGTGGAGTTTCTTTCTCATCATCAATGCCCAAAATCATAGCAACTGCATGGGAGAGTACAAGGGCGGTCCAAGGCTCTAAGCATTAAGATATATAACAGAAAATAGTAAAACATGGCTGCAGGTTCCACCACTCCCATTTTATTGTGGGGAAGGAACACCACCCTCAAATATGTAAATCTCATTGCACTAACCAACTCCAGAAGGTCTCTTGGAACCATACTGGGTCCAGATCTGTGCTCTGTCTGCAATCCTGTGAAGAAACAAGCATATGCAGTTGGTTACATGCAGAAGATCCCTGTTTAAATACAGAAGTATGCCAGGCTATTGAAAAAAATAGTGTTTATATATAAATTATCATTAATGAAAGAAAACATTATGCATAGTAAATATAAACATAGTTTTGGTTTGTGATGACCCCTGACTCCCTGTACTGTACGGTGTTTGAAATTCACAGGGCCCACTTAATTTCTTTCCTTCAACTTAATGTGCAGGATCAACAGATAGACAAAACATATGCATAAATCAGGATAAATACTTTCGAGAGGATATCTCAGTGTCCTCTCATACATCCAACAAGAGACTGAAGATTGAACATGAGTGAGATTTAACTAATGATGCAGATAGAATTATTTTCATGTTAGCAAGAAATTATAGGCACTGCCAGTGTGAAGTCCTGATCTACTATCTATTTCCTTGAGGTCAATATTTACCATTGTGCCAAAACATCAGGAGGCATTTCATATCCCCATTTGAAACGAAATTCTGCAGTTTGATTCCTTGCCTCATGAGCTAATGCTCTTCCCTCACCTGTAATGATGATTGAAGAAACAGCTATGATTATCAGCATTCTAAAACAAGCATACAAATAAACATTACTATTGTGTCATGTTTTGATGTTTCCATCTTTGGTGCTCTGCGCGGTACTGGTAAATGGTGATTCGAGTTAGTTCAAATTTCAACAGTAAATTCTAAACCATTTCAGATGTTAAATTTAATGGCAATGGTCTGATGTTCAACAAGGTACCAAACCAATGGTCTGATGTTCAACAAGGTACCAAACCAATGGTCTGATGCTCAACAAGGTACCAAACCAATGGTCTGATGCAATGGTGATTAGAAACAGAAGTAATAAATTGGCAGAGCCACCTTGCTGCAAGCAATGTCAAGCGAGCAATCACGCATTCGATGCTCATGAACATAAGGCGTCAGTAAAACCAAACAGATCATTAGAATTTAGACCAACTTCGACGAATTGATGCATTAATGCATTATATGTGTGTGCTAAAGATGACAGTCAAATTGAACCTTTGCAGTATATAACCAGAGGTTTCAGATTATCAAATCGAATATGATTACAGTATGTTGGTGTGTCAACCAACCAAATGCAAGTCTACAGAGCTCAATTAAAAAAGTTCCTAGGTGGATTTTGAAAATACACCATACAGTTTCAATTTTCAAACGCCCTCATGACGCATAATAAATAAATCAACGCTACGCTACGGCGCATGGTGTATTACGCCATTACCCCGTAACTCCCGAGCGACAGCACCCCCAAAACCGTAACAAGTTGGACCGCACGCATTAGCATTAAAGCAATTGGAGAATGAATCAGACAGAGTACAGCGCATACGTTCTGCTAAGTGTTCGGGCAGAAATGACAAGAGAAGCAAGCGCTGGTGAGGTCACCTACGATCCCCGTGGCAAGCAACCCCAGCCGCTCGGTGATCGGGAACAGGCGCGAAACGCTGGTCATGTCCAGCAACTTGTCCTGGAAACAAGCAAGCAGGAGAGCATCATGACCGATTAATCGAGCAAACGCGAGAGACTAAACTTGGACCGATCGCCGCCGCGGGCGCACGGGGCCAGGGGCACTCACCTTGGGCTCGCTCGCCCTCCGCTGGCCGACGACGCAGACGGAGTCGGCCCCGCGCACGCCGACGGAGGTGACGCCCGCTAGCCTCGTGGCGTTCCAAGCGTACTCTGCGAAGGAGACGCGGAAGAGGAGTGAAGGACCATCAGATACCGCAGCCGGCGGGCGGCGCGGAGCTTCGGGTTTCGGGGTTTTCCGTGCGCGCGCACAGCGCACTCACCGACTTGGTAGAGGCGGCCGTTGGCGGAGAAGACGGTGACGCGGCGGTCTTCGGAGACGGTGCCGGACGCTCCGGCGCCGCGGTGGCTACTGCCGCCGCTGGACACCTCACCCACCTGCATCGGTCTCGGCGTGGGTTTGGGTTTGGGTTTGGAGACTTTTCTGTGGCCATTATAAAAGATCGAAATCCCTTGTGTGTTTTTGGAAAAATTCAGCGGTCTTTAGCGTCATTACTTTAACTTTTTCGTGTCCTCCATGTCACTTCCGTCAGTTCAGGATGTAACGTCCTCAAACTACAGTTGTGAAAAGACGAAAATACCCTTAAGTTCAAATATGTTATTAATTTTTTTTGAGCATCTTAACGACTTCAAATGAAAAAACTCAAAACGAGAAAGTTGTAGATCTCGTCGAGACCTATAATTTTCATATAAAATTTATTTTTATTTAATTCCGCAAAAAAATATGATTTGATATGATTAATATATCTTAGAAAAATCATCATATTTTTTTACGAAATTAAATAAAAATAAATTTTATATGAAAATTATAGATCTCGACGAGATCTACAACTTTCTAGTTTTGAGTTTTTTCATTTGAAGTCGTTAAGATGCTCAAAAAAAATTAATAACATATTTGAACTTAAGGGCATTTTCGTCTTTTCACACCTGCAGTTTGACGGCGTTAGAGCCTGAACTG